ATTATCATAATGTGTTGGCAATGTTGGCATATTGCCTAATTTAATTCGATTAGTTCGAAATTATATTTCTAAAACGACAAACGCATATGAACAACGCATATGCTATACGCAAATTGATTATTATTTAGATTATAAATAAATTAACCAAATAATATAAATATAAAGACTGTACACATTTTATCGTATTATTTGGTAGAGTAGTACCTACTTATAAGTTCAAATTCGGAAAATATTAATTATAAAACTTTTGACGAATATAACGGATATAAAAATGAAATAAAGGGGGTTGGGGCTAGCCAAAAATCGTCATAATATAAACTAAGTTAAAAGTTATTTTAAAAAGTGATTAACAAAATATAATTTATAAAATATTGCATGACGTGCTGTAAGAGACTTATATAGAGTATTAAAACATTTAAAATTTTTTTGTGAATTTTAACTACTACCTAAACGAGAAAGATGAATTCGTGAATAGTATCAAATGTTTGAGGCACCTCAACGTTAGATACTGAAGCTTTTCCGACTTCAGTCTCAATAACTCCAGTTCCATTTTATCCACCTCTATAGTCTCCGATGATCTGTGAATTTAAAAAGAAAAGTTATCGCCTTATCGGTATGGTGAGAGTGTGGGTCTAAACAGTAGATACTCTCAGTCTCAGCATTACATCCCGTTATCTATGGTAAAAGTTGGTGAGGGAACGTAATAASTAATAACTAACAAGTAATGACAGTAATGTATGATGGACAAACAAATCGATGCATGCGGACGCGTCAGTGCAGCAGCAACAGCGGCCGATTAGATTTATAATAGTAATAATATATGTAACTAGATGTCTTGTCCGTTTCCTAGTTCCTTAGACATCCTTGAATCGCGTTGTTGCGTTTATATCTCGTCGGAGTAACGACAAATTATAATAATAATAATAATAATATGGTTGTAAACATATAATATTATTATGGCAATGCTGAACGAGATTTCTTCACAGTTTATTGAAAGAGAAAAAAAATGACGTGTTTATTAACAATAATAAAGTATCCAGACACGTAGATATACTTACAATATACGTGGCCCCGTAAACGTTTGTTACACGCTGTATTGTTCATTAGAAAACAGCACCCAACCAATGTGTATAATATGCCTATAGGTACCTATATGTACATATTGTATGCGATACTACCTATATGCGCCAATTATTTATAATAATAATATCTGTATTATAATATATGCCACGTGTTTACATATTTTTATACACGAATAGTTTGAAATATTTTGAAACCGTTTTGGCCATAAAATTCGTTCAAGGTGACGATCATAAATTAAATCCGTTGTGTACAACAGTGCATAGAAATGGAAATCAAATGCAATAACAAACGTTGTAGAAACTATGCCAATTCAAACGTCGTTTGACCATTAATTCCAGTTTCCCATGACTTACATTATGTTCGTTAGAGATGGTTGAACAATGGCACAATTTAGTGTTATTAATTAAATATGTTTTGTTTTCGCTTCAAAAGTTGTGACGTCTAAAATAAATTACTCAAATTACTAAAAAAAAGAAACAACGATTATCACTCATTAGCAGTCCATATAATGAAATAATCGAAAACTAGAACAATTGTTCAAAATCTTTCAAAAAAATACAATCACAACGAACGCTACCRTCAGTTTGTTAAGATGATAAATCYGGTGTTCGTCAATTACGCCGAATTTTGGATACTACCTGTCTACTTTGTAGTACCTATACATCTATTGAACCGGTATAAAAAAGGTATATTAAAAAGATAAACATCAATAT